TTAATTTTGGAAAAGTAAAAAGATACAAACCGAATACATTGCTAAAACAGAGAAGGAAGTTACACACCTGGTTTCAGGTGTCATGTAACACACCAGATTCTTTTGATGTCAGACAAGGCATCAAATTAAATTCACTCTCAGATTTATCTTAGAGTGAATTTTATGAATTCTTCATAAAACTAATGAAGGTTTAGGAGATAATGGACCAGCGGCCCATCTGTGTGCAATATTCTTTTTCTTTTTTTTTTAATTTACTCACCATTAAACTTTACAAGAATCCTTTTGTGCATATATGTTTATATCCTCTTTGACTCTTTCTCTTTTTTGTTGCCTCCAGCCATTAGAGCACAACTCTTCAGCCACACTGCATAAACTCAGATACGGACTGAATAAAGAGCCAGATGTATTTTGGGCTGATTTTAATTGCTCATGTCATGCTGGTCCCATCGCTCTGGCAGGCTGTTTAAGAATTGGATGAGCCTATGGGCTCATGGCTGTGTCTGTGTGAAAGACAGAAGCAGCGGTGATCCTCAGAGGAAAGCTTTAAATTTAGTCCTTCCCAAAGATCCTTTCAACTAATCCAGAAAGTTTATTCAGACTGGTTATTGAGGCACATTAAGACCCTCAACTAATTATGCAGCTTCGGTAAACCACACAAATTTCAGACCATGATTACGTGATTGATGGATGGTATGTTTGTTTGTGTGTAATTTAGAAACTAATCTCAGGGTAATCAAGTCCACAAACCTCGTTTAGTGCAGCACAAAGTGACATCAAATTACTTTCATTAACGTCTCCCCTTGAACACACTTTTAGACGGATAAATCACACTTTGCTTAAGGAGTTGTAGTGATCGAAGGAGGTCTACAGGAGCTCTGACGTGCTTGTTAAGATGACAGTGATGCCATTTGACAAGCTAAACCTATACCTAGAAGGTCAGATGAAAATATTTTGCAGAGTCTATATTTCAAGTCATCCCTCATTTGTTTAGATTTTGCTTCCAAGCTGCCAAACTGACAGATGAACTTTCTTGTTATATTTGAAAGAGGTTGTGCTCAATACATCTTCAGGTTCCTGGAAAGTACATCTAAATTTTATTATAAGTTTATATATATATATATATATGTTTTGCCTGGGTTCTTTGGTTACTAAGCCATCTAACTCTGGCATATAAATCTCAGTTTTTTATACCCAACATCTTGCATAGGTACCCAAGTGTTCCCACTATATTTTAATTAATACCAAAGATAACATAGGAGGCATGAAACATCTGCCATATAAATTTAGGTAGTAAAATATGTTGACACATCATGGAGAATGAAAAACAAAGAATCTTAAATCCAACATTTAATTTAATGTCATATTCTTTGTTGATGGTTTTATATCTCACTTCATAATTAATCACTACTCTTAAGAAATCTGAGAATTTATGGCTCTTCATCCAACAAAAGTAACAGAGTGATCTCCTGACTGGTAAAAACTGGCACAGCCGCACATTTTATATCATATATTAATACATTTATGTTCAATAGCAGACCTCAGGCACTTGTGTCCTACAAGTTTTAAATGTGTCCCTGACTCACCACATTTCAATCAAATTAATGAAATCTGAAATATTCAGGAGGTAATTTCGCTTTTTAAATCAACCAAGAGGTATTTAGTCTGCCAATGTTGATCACTGAATATGGACCAGGTGTGAGGCTAGTATCCCACTGCAGTTGTGAGGGAACTAATGGGAACCAGTGAGAAGGAACGGCTGAAACCAACATTAAAGAAAACATCCTGAGAATAGAAAATATTGCTAAAAAGTTTTGGTCTCAGAAAACTGAGGCAGTTGCATCAAGTCACTGAATTTGCAGCAATCACTCCTCCTGAGTGAACATCTAGCAACTGTGGACAGTTCAAGGCACTGAGGTTAATACTGCAGCAAATACAATCTAAATCTATAACAGCAGTGGAAATGGTTCTGAATACAAAAGCCAGAGTCATCGTTCAGATTTTTAATATTAGAAGTCGTTTATAAACACATTATTTTTTTAATAAATACATTAAAGTTAGTGTGCCTATGGTGACAAAATGTGACAAAGTATAACAAGTGAGAGTCTTTGTGCATGAAGAAACCCCCTCGGTGTGGATCAATGGATCAAAAACAAAGACAAGTCTGTCGCCTTCACCCTCTCCTCAGAACTGATGGGTATGAGCGACGAAGACATGGAGAGGATGAGAGCGAGCGAGATGCCTCAAGGTTAACACCGGAGGAGATGCGTCTCTGTGTCTGGTGGTAGTGGGGGGAAGAAGGGAAACAGCTGCCAGAGGAGTTTACCACCAGTCATTACTGCGCACAGGGGACAGAGGAAATGTAATTTTTACACACAGGCACTTAATAGGACGGACTCGGTGTTCGTAATGCACTGTCCGTGACCCTGTCAGGATGTGACTCTGAGGACTGACACAAAAACAGAATTTACCGTCAGCGGTGCTTCACCTCTGTTCTCCAGGATGTTTCTGACACATTCATAAACTTATTTTTCCCAGAGTGTGAAGTGGAAGTCCTGTGACCACAATGGTTCAATTTCTTCAAAAGTTGAGTTAGGACACAAATCTTATTTTCCTCTGTGCCATTTTATAGCTATTTGATATACATAAATATTACACTGAAACACAGAAACTAAAAGAAATACTACTATATTATTAATATTGGTTTGAAAAGCGTATGTTAAAACTGAAGTTTTGTTGTGTAGGGAGAAGGGTGAGAGCGACCACTTCTCATAAGATTCTAGGCTACATGCCTTGATGCTTGATTTTATATATAGTCATGGCCAGTAATTTTACCATATTATAGAAATTAAAAAAAGTTCAAGTTTTGGAAAAAAAACATGATTTATGCATACCAGTCTCCCAGGAAGCCTCCTTTACCATATAATGTTTTTTTCTGCAGAAAACCTGAGCTCTGTTTTCAATTTACTTTTACTCTCACAGTTGATATTTCATAATTTGTTCTAACAACCCAGCGTGTAACATGTACCAACTTCAGCAATTCCTTTAATTTCCTCCAATACAAAAAAAAAAAAAACATTACTGAGTAGAGATATGAATTCTGATGACTTTATGGAAATCTGACACTCTGCCTTATGTTTCACTTCTGCATATCTACTGATTCGTGCACAATAAGGTCACAATCAGTCAAAGTGTTCATCTGAACTTCTGAACCCCTAAAAGCTCCAATCCCATTGTCAGGAGAATGAATTTACATTAAAACTGTTGTTCTAAGAGATGAGAGTTCAACCAGATGTGAACCCTGCTTGTCTTTTCTTATTCCTGAGTCCACATTCTGAAGACGACAGGGCTGTGTGTTGACACTAATTAAGGAGGACTGAGGGTCTGGCTCTTCTAAGGACAGCCTTCAAACACAATGTGTACATGGAAAACAATCAGAAGTCAAAGGAACAAAAGGCAGCTGCCAGACTGCCAGTAATAACCGTGACTGAACAATACCTTCCCAAAGAGACACAAACTGGCAGCTACTCATAATAGGAAATCCTAATTACAGAGGTTTACAATGCTTATTAAAATTACTAATAATAACTGCTAATAATTACAGCATGCCAGACCTGCCCTTGGAACAATTACACACCCAGTCAGTCAGTGACTCCTTCTTACAGTCAGTCAACCAGGCTCTTTGACAGTCTGTCAAATATAATAGAGAGAATTTACAAGCACAAGGTCGACACAGATTCTGCCTGCACCATCTGCAGCCTCAGCAGAAAGCAAGACTGACCAGACGAAGATCTCCAGTCTCCAACCGAGCAGATTCAAGCTAATTCTAATCTTATTCGAGGGGAGCGGACTCTGACATGGTGCTCGGCTGTTGTTTGAGTCTTTAGAGATGTTTTCATGGTCACCGAGTGCAGCTAAAGGAGAAACAACAGATTATTGTCACTTTCTAAATGAAAATATAAGCAAAAGTAATAAAAGATTTGAGAACAAAAGACATGTAATCCTGCTTTCACACTGAAAACGTATGCTCTTGAATTATGGGAGAGAAAATCCCCAGTTCTCCAGTTTCCTGATCAGTTGACACCTTGTTTAGATTATATTGTATTAGAAGCACAGCAGAAATGTTTTTTTTTCTCTCTATCCTTCCACCAGCTTTTGTTTGTCATGTACACTCGAAGCAGGGGCAATGTCACACTGTGTGTAAAAGAGCAATCAGTGTAAAACAGGGTTTAACTGTCATTTAGAAAAAAAGAACGAGTGACAAAAAATTAAAAAAAAAAAGCAGCCGAAGCTCAGAGTAAACCTTTGAAAAATCTTTGAAAACCTGGGAGACCTATAGATCAGGACTAGTTTTCAAGACATTTGTAGTAACAGTCACTGAGGTCCAGACAATACAAAAACCACAATCAGAACACTAAATGGCACACACAGTTTGTAGATCAACATTAGACCTTGGCAGGGACACAGGAGAATTTAATTACTTACTCACTGTATCCCCATTGGCCAGGAAGTGTGGGATATGCTAATTAAGTGTTGGCAGATAAAATGCTTCCTCTGCCTCTGTGTCTTATTACTGCAAACTCCTGAGACTGCAGCCAAAGCACCTTTAGCGTCTGACAAATAGGACAGCACCTACAGGTCTATTCAGCTGAGGAGAATGACCTAATAGTAACACAACTTCATGCTCAAAAAAAGAAAAACTTTCAGCTGCAATCAGCCTTTTCCATCTTCTGTTTCTAATTGATAATTAGTCTTCCATTAATTTGGGGCTAACATCCATCTCTTATCACAAAGGTACAGTTTATCAGCAGCTTAAATGATGGACTAAATTAGGTTGGCAATGTTAATGAGTCACCTTGCAGCGTATGAGGGACATAAGGGAAATAATTTCTCCTGACTCATATTAAATTAACTGCAGCAGATGTGCTGGGCATGCATTGCAGCTTAAAGAACAAATGTTAACCATTAGGTTTTTTTTTTTCAAAGAATGACACAAGTTATTAATAAAGTATATTTTATTGCAAAAAGATGATATGCACATAAATGTAAAAATGCTGATAAAACAGAAATGAACTTGTTGCAACATCATAAAATGAGATTTGAGATTTTGAGATACAAAGCTGTGTAATAAAGAAATTGTTATACGTCTAAGAAAAGAGGTTATTAAAATGGTTCCTTCATGCACCGGTCCCTGTAAAGGCAAAACCAGAAGTACCAGAACCCTTCACAATGTAAAACCGAAGCTAGTACCTTCAACTTGTGCAACTCATGTTTTCAAGAGCCAGACAGGATGCTTGATCTGTTCTTGCAAACTCCTTGTTTGGTTTTGTGCATTACCAAAATTGAGAAACACTCGGTGCAATGATTGAACTTTTGACTTTTGGTGTTAAACTCAACACAGCATGAACTGAGTTTGCAGCACATCTTGATTTAACAGCAACATTTCCCAAACAGCCTGTGGCTCTGCTTAAATCCATGAACATTCAATACCATTACACAGAAACAATAGAAATAAAATGCTTGTGAAGAGTTACGTATATGTGAAGTGCGTGCTAGTATAAAATGAACAACAGAAATACACTTTAATATCACATCTGGATTCACTAAAGTCCACAAAGTTTATTAGGCAGTTAGAGCTGAGGAAACCTTTATTTTTCCTGTCTTATGCTCAATCTATTGTACAGTTTTTGTCAATTTGTGGACATTTTTAAACAAAAGATTCATGTTAGAGTGTGTTGAGAGGTTTTATTATGAGCATATTTCAGAAATGATGATGTTACATTAGGCTGAAGTTGGTTTCTGCATTGATTGGGTTTGTAACAGGCTGTTTTACAATGATTTTCTCATCTGAACTTACTGAGTCTTTAATGGATACACTTTATAAATCAAGATGGCTTCCAGTTAATGCATTTATTTATGGGATCCCAGCCATAAACTGGAAAATTTAAATTACAAAATGGCAACAAACAAAACAAAAAAGCTGAAGTTGTGATATGGCAAGTTAGAAATGAATAAAGTTAAATATAAATCAATGAAAAACAACATTAAGTTTCTTATTTAACCTCTTGCAGAAAATGTACTGAGCAATAAAGTCTAGAATTGGAAACATTTTTCCATTGTTATTTGACTTTGTGTCCAATTTTATCCTGGTGTGAAAAACTACATTATGGACATGTTTGCTTCGACGGCCTATCGGGTTAGAGAATAACAGTTTAATCTACAGCAGGTGCTGTTTAAATATTAAAACTGAAAAAAACAAACAAAAAAAAACCAATAATCACACAAAAAATGTCAGTATTGTGTTGTCTTCTTCAGAATAAAACTGCAACGTTATCATAAAAGCTAAAACTAAACATTTCACTGCTGTTCTTTCAACAAAATACTAACAATTTTACTTTCAGGATTTTTTTTTAGACTTTTGTCAAAATTGAAAGACTAAACCAAGCGATCTCTTTTCACAAAATTTCTACCTTCAAACTGCAGAGCCTCACTTCTGCAACACATCTTCAGAAAAAATGTTTGTTTTCATTCATTATCCCACAACTTCCTTACTTTGTAGAGACTCTGGGTCAAAACGCCTCTTCAGCAACTCACAAACCCATTTCGTACCAACATGTTGTATTCCTAACCAGTAAACAAAACATTTTGTAATCGTGTATTTTACCACAGCATGTCAGTTTGTTTATTTATGATTTTGATGAATCATGAGGATAAATAACCATAAAAATAATCAAGTCGCACATATGTTTGAACTGAATATTATTTACTTTATATTTTTTGATCACACTCTATGTTTACTGATTGTGGTTTCTGTGAACTCCAATGAAATAGAGCTTACTAAGTCACAATAACACAGAGGGACTTATTTGGAAACAAAAATGGGAAGAAAAACCCCTCAGCAAAAGTACAAAATGACGAGTGTGTGAGATGACCTTTGACTTCCTTCTGTTTTTCTACCATCACTTCTATTTCTCACTTTTCAGTTTTTACTCATCAGTTTCCAAAAATCTTTTACCTCCTCTTTTCCTTCTTTCACTTTCTTTCTTATTCTAAACCTTATACATCTGTCAAACACGTATCCAGAAAATGTAATTAAATCTATATTTGTATGAAAAAATTTATTATTTTTCAAGATTTATAGTAACCTTCTCTGAACATTCACTTAATCCTCAGTCTTTTACATAATCCAACATACATAAAAACATTTAGTATCAATTGAAGTTAATACTGCTGAGTGGAGTGGTGTGAAACATAAATGTTTTTCTTGACTAACAGTAAATCAACAGTTCAGTGTGACTAAGAGACCGAGCTCTGTATCAACTCCGTAAAAACACACTACAAATAGGGTTGGCTTGATCTTAATGCAGTGGCAGAACGCAGATATTTGGACGCAGGTGTGAAATGAAACTAAAAGCAGTTTGTCGTGCAGTTTTACTACCAGTCTGTACATGCAAGACAAGAGATACTGATAGAAAAACATCAGATTTCATCAAACATTCAAGTAGGAGTTGGTTTAAATAAAGTTAGTGAAGGTCCAGATCAGCTAATATCATCAGAGGTGGATGCAAATGTCAAATTTGAGATTTAGCTGATTATTAATATTTTTATCTGATATGAAATATTACTAAGTTTAACACTGAGCTGGAGTCATAAAGTTTCCCATTTGGATCTTATCTAATTCCGTGCCAGAAAAGTAATTAAACTCAAGTTGACTGACAGAAATATCATTATTAAAAATGAAAAAATGCAATGTTATTAAAAGCATATCATTACACAGTGACAGATTTCATATAGCGCATTACTGTGATGTAACTTCAGGAGTCATAAAGAAAATCAAAAGGAATTGAAAAAATTAAAAGTCAAGTTAAGGAAATGGCTCACTGGCAAAAAAAAAAAAAAAAAAAAAAAAAACGCTCTGGCAACGCCCACACACAAAACAATTATTTTGAAGATACTTTCAGCTTGATAGAAATCTTTCCTCGACTGTCAATATAGGCATGTGAAAAACTAAGTACACTTTAAGAGGATTTAGTAGAAATTATCACTGAGTTGCTGATGATCAAATACATTTTATCACTTGATCATCAGAAAAATGTATGTTTTGACAGTTAGGCAATGCCAAGGTGAAAAGACATTTATTGAAGCAACTGCATCAATCTGGAAAGAGCTCCAAGGCTAAATTTTAAAAAGTTTATTATTCTATATTTAGAAAGGTTATGTACAAGTGTAAAAATATTTAAGGTGGCAGCCAGACTTCCCTGTAATGGGCATTCCAACAAGTTAAACCCCTGTAAGGCCCTATGATGCTGCACAAATCCACAGATTGGCATATTTAATGTAACATTACACAAGTTTGAAAAAGTATGGATGTTTGTAATGGATTCAAAAAGGGAAAGTTTCTGTTCCATGAAAGTAAAAAGCAGCTTGACTTAGGTTTCCAAAGTTGCATCTGGTTGGACAACACAACTTCTCGAATATTGGTCTTTGCATACAGTAAAATGTGAGTCCACATTGGCAATATTAATGACTCACCTTGCAAAACTGGGTCCAAAGCACTGGAGTATAACTACAGAAGAATGGCTCAAAAAGTAAGAAATTCAAAATGTCACTATGGCCCAGTCAAAGTCCAGAACTCAATCTAATCTAAATGCTGTGAAGGGACCCTTAAGGAGCGCTGCAATGGACTGGTGAACCTGTCCAGGGTATACCGCACCTCTCGCCTGTTGACTGCTGGCGATAGGCATCGGCACCCCTGGTGACCTCACTGGGAATAAGCATTTTGGGTAATAGATGGAATTTAAGGAGCTGTGCATTGATACATGTATTAAAAATAATCTTGAACAGAAGACCACATGCCTCTGCCACAAGAAAAGAGACTGAAGTGGTCACACAGAAATGACTACTGATTTATTCCTACAAATTATTGTATGGAGGGATTAGTTTTTGCCAGGGCTGTATGTAATGTGTGAATATTTTAGATTTTCAAAATCAAGTAGCAGTTATTAATGGAATAAAGCTTTAAAGTGATTTTCATTGATGCATCAATACATTTTTGAACCATTTTTTTTCCATTTTCCATGATGTACATCCTCCTCACAGTGAATCAAATACTTCCAGACACATTCAAAAGAACAGAAATGGTTTCATGCACAAATCTAATAACACTGAAGAGTCTATTCTGTGTTAATCATCGTATACTGTAGATAACATTCGTTGCACTGGTTTTGTTTTCACTAATTTGTCAGTTGAATTACTTTGGAGAAGCACAGGAACCATCAGGACCAGCAGAGACTTCAGATGCCGGCTTTAAACTGATCTTGTTTCTTTTATGTCTTTGACTGACTTAGACCTTTAATATGTGTGAAGTACAAAGTAATCATTTAACACATAATATTTTCGAAGCAATTTAAAATACCAAGCAGCCACACCATAGACATTTGCTGGTTTTCATCAAGGTATTAATAACAGAAAAAGGTGCCAGGTGTTTGGTAGGTTTTGCATGTTTCACTCTGTGGATCTTGTGGTGAAAGCAGTCCTCTGTTTGGAGTTGTTTTGGCGTTGCGCTCCTTCGACATTCCCAGTATAACCATACTGGTCAGTGCTAGGTTCCATTTGGGGCCTGAAACCAATTAAAAACTCTTAAATTAAACAAGATCAGAGTCAGTGTTATATTAGTACAGAAGTGATTTATAAATGCAAAAAATAACTAAAAATTACCTGGACTTGTCATTGTCCATGTATGATCTCCTACCTGTAACCCCCACCCACAGTTCCACGTGCCATGGTGTCGTACCGCGGTGCCCGCAGTGGCGGAGTAGGAGATGGCGGCACGTCCTGCCGCAAAGGTCCTCTCTGCTGGGAACTGAGAGAAGGACATCATGGAAATTAGACAAAGAAAGATCCGACTGTCAAAACAAAGACATGTACAATGCCCCTCACTCTGCTTTTTCTCAGTCAGGAAAAAACTTATAAAAAAATTTAAGTTCCAGTGTTGTTGCCAATGCTGATGATGCATTTTAAATTAATGTAAAGAAACAATTTTACATGTTTTGGCTAAAAGACTTGTACTGCCTGTACTGTAACAAACAGTTGTATAAAACTTTATTGTACCAACAATTGTAAGGCAACACATGTAAACTGACTAACCTGGGGTGAGGGTAGTAACCAGGTTCAATCCCTCGAGGGTCTCTTGGCTGCTGTTGATAAGGCTGGCCAGGCAGGAAGTTGGAGAATGACGGACCAGACTGGGAGTTGATGTTAGAGTAAGTTGGTGACTGGGGGTACCCAGGCTGAGCTTGTGGCGGACCCGGGTAATGACCCGACCATGACTGCATTGGGTAGTCAGCAGGATCCATTGGTCCTCGTCTATAAAAAGAGAGTTGATGGTTTTGTGATTATTAAACTTGAAAATACCCATGGTATTTTCAAGTTTAATTCTTCTGCTTATCCTAATCGATAGGCTCTTTTTCAGTGCATAATAGTTCAAAGAGTTTTACAGGAGATACTGTATCGTCGTCTCGTTTAGCAGATTTTACTCCTACCTGAGTGAAATCCGCAAAAATGACAAGGTTATGAAAGGCAATCAGAGAAATAAACAAGATTGACCTACATGACTCCACCAACTTGAACCCCCTGCTCAGCCTGAAAAATCACCGGCAATAACACAAATAATCAACCTACTGCTGGCACCATGAACGCCGCATTTGCTGTTTTTGTTTCTTTCATGATGTACCTTTCCGCGGATTTTTATCAAGAAACAACCAGCAAATGGTAATAGTTCTCCTGTTGCCAATCGGCTGACTGTAAGGCTGAAATATTCATGAAAAGCTGCTGGAAGTGGTCTGCTACGGACTGGGGAGGCAAGCGGCAGGCACCCTGACGAGCCAAGAGCCTGTTGCAGCCAAAGATCACATAGCAACAGAATGTAAGTGACATGTGACAGTTTTAAGTGGGATGAGGCTCAGTTAACGCACGCAAAGACACACATTCACACACGTAGCTGTGGTAAACCAGCCTGGACTTGTTAATAGATATTAATGTCTTGTGCCCTGTGGAAAGCAAGTACACAAACATGTGCTCAGCACATAGCAAACATTATGAGGTATTAGGTTTTATCCCCCATCTTTCTAAACATGGGGCATTAACGGCATTTGCCTCATTCTTTCTGGATATACTCATATGTCTCATTTACCTCTCACTTTAAATTTGAGTGTGCTTGTATTTCTGAATAAATTAGAGAAGAACTAAATTTGTTTTGTCAAAATTGTAACTCTGAGTTAGATTACAATCATAAATTTCCGGAATTAACTTGAGGTTTGTGTAATTACATTGCCTTATAAGATGTATAACATGAACAAATTTTTAAATTCAATTTTTTAGCATTTTGAATAGATTCAGACAAGAAATTGCAATTCTTTATAAACTGGCTTTTTCTGAACCTCTATTAAGTGGGAACTTCTAACCAACCACCAAAATGATCTACTGACTGTTGCCTGGAGAGATATTGTTAATCTGCTCATGAAGGAGACTAAACAAAACAGATTTGTACATAAATAGTTGCTGGTGGTCTCCATGCTGGTGCCTGCGTGAGCCAATCTGGGTGGTCAGCTGGAGAAAGTGTCTAACTGCATGCCCTTCATGTTTCGGATGTCTTCTTCTGTCCCTCCTGGCTCCACATCCACTGTTAGCATACTTATGTGTCCATGAGCACACACACGCACACACACCTTGCATTTCTGCTGCTAAGTCAACTCATCTGTCCTCCTATTCGTCACCTGTCATCTGGTTTCTGGCTTATTCTGTCCCACTTATTGGAACTCACTCAGGGTCAGCGTATCAGCTGGACGTCTCAAATTTCACTCCTCTCACAATCTGCAGCCATTTTGTCTCCTCTTTATCTGGAAAGTCCCCCAACTTGTGACTGTCAGTTTCCCTGTCTGCAAATATGTCCGTTTAATTCACTGTCATCCTTCTTTTAGATGTTTTATGATGGCAAGTCTATCAGAAACATGTATACCTGTGCTTACAGTGGTCAGGCAGACTGTCATTTAGCATTTTTTTCTTCTAGACCTGATAATGTCATCAAGCAGAGATAAGAGAAGCGAAGATGTGATGAGGCGGTGAAGAGAGCAGGGAAGAGAGTGATAAAGAAGGAGTAGAAAAATCTATTCAAATAGATATTGTTTAAATGTCATCATTCTATAACCCCCAATTGTAGGAGGTATAAATATTTCTGGATGCAAATAATTAGATTTTTTTTGTATGTTGACAGCTTTTTAAGAAACTACCAATATGTTTGTTCCCAATGTGTGATGATGATTGAAACACAGTTAAGAAAATTGGGACAACTGCTTCTTTATTCAGTCCAGTTTGTTCTAGAGTATCTTGATTTAATTGAATGCGCCTTGTAAGGTATGTAAGGTATAAGCTAATTATAAAGCATACCTTAAAATAATTATTATCTTCCTTAAACAGCTGCGTTTCCTGATTTGTAAATGCTCATGCAGAGTTAACATTTCAATAGCTTTGTCATTAAATGTTTTGTTTCACTACAAATTGGTAGATCACAACACATCACTCTACAAGAGAAGAAATAAAAACATGCTCAATCAATTTTGTAGAACATTTGGTCAAACCGATAAATACTTGAAGAATACAATCTATTGAGATGAGACCAAAGTTTGACTCATTGAATGCCTTTGCACACATCATGTTTTAAGGAGAAACTGAACAAGACTTTCAAAAACACAATATGAAGGAGAGTTATGAAGTGGTACCATTATGATGTCTGCAGTGGTGTTTTTCAGCGGATGGCCTTGGACATATTCACATAGTTAAATGGCAGATTAATACATTTTCAGAAACAATCTCAAGATCACAAAATAAAACTTGAGAAATGCATGTGACTTTTCTTTTTTTACACAAGAAACATTAAAGTTTTCAATTCCAAAGAATTTCATTTTATTAAGAATGAAAAAACTTTCTATAAGCATATTCACTTGCCCTTCCACGTTTTTATTTGTGATTGTTGGATTTTTTGGATTAGTTTCTGGATTTCCTAGTTTGTAACAAATGTCACATGTAAATTTTTTGCCAATAACTTAATTCGAAATGGATTAATAGTTGACATATTCAATCATAAATTTCCTGTTGTTGATGTTATCCACAAAAACAGAAATAAAAATACTGATTGGTTAAAACTGTTTGATTTGACTCAGTCTCTAAGTATCTCCTCTCCTTCCTATGGAACCAGTAGGTTTTTTTCCAGACTGGAAGAATAAATGATTAATTTCATAAAACATTTGTCAGCATGAAAATGAAAACAACCATTGAAACCCCAGCGTGGTATGAAATGTTAAAGAAATCCAGTGGTAATCTTCAGAGAATCCACTGTAAATCCGGTGGCAAGTTTGGAATTCCTCCTCCAGGAACCCAGTCAGCACTCCACAGCAGCTGGGGATTACGAAGTAATGTGGATGGAACCCAGTACTCACAAGCACACACACATACACAGATAAAGACGAACATCGAAGAAGGAATAAACACTTACGCAGAGGCAGAAACTTAGAAAAACCTTTTCACAAAAACAAACACACATTCTCCCAGAGTTTCCGTTCAGGACGAGTTGCTAATCGTCCTCCTCTCAAACCCCCTACAGTCTGGAGGAGGCAAATTGGAGCACAGCTGGAGGGGAGTTTAGATCCAATGAGGAGGCTGTTAGCCTGTTGGTGTTCAAGCGTGCATATGTGTCTGCGTTTGTGAAAGACATAGAGAGGAAGACCGAACGAGGGAAACAGATGTAATGAGTGAGAACAGCTTTCTGGCATATGCAACAAGTAGTTTAATGTAATTGAGAGAGTCATCAAATCAAAAAAGAAAAAAAAAGAAGAAAAAATCAGCAAATTGAAAACAGTCCAAACAGAACAGAAAAGACATTGACGACTCAGTTTGAAGTGAAATTTAACTATGTAATACCTGTTTAAGGATGACTTCCTCACTGCTGTTATTACACAGATAGTGCCCTCATAAATCAGGTCAGATATTCGAGAGGATAATTGGGGAGAATTTCTCTTTAGGTCTGACAGTAATTGAGAGTAATGTGAGCTGCTCTAATTCCATGTATTAGGAAGATTTCTGATGGATTTCAGAGGAAACAACGACTCACTATGTTCAGCGCACCTGCCCCTCTCCCTCACAGACACATAGACACACTGTTGGAGCCCTGCACACAGCTGCTACACAACCGAAAAACACACACGCTCACACACGCAATGTAACACCATTACAGGGCTATTAAAAAAAAAACTTCCTAATGTTTTTTTTTTTTTTTTTTTGGGTGAGAATTCAATTTTTCAGATCAAACTCTTCTTAAAATCCGAAAAATATCAGTTTAGTAAAAAAAAACAAAAACTGTTATTTAAGAGATTCTCTTTGGTTCAAATTCTCTAACTATACCCAGCCCTTATTACTGTCAGAAATGTACAATCAATAAATCAGATAAGCAGAAGAAAATGAAGAAGGTTAAAACTAAGTGTTGCAGTATATCCAGATCTAAATAAATAAATAAATAAATAAATAAATAAACAAAAAGAAAAAGTAACATTTAAAAAGCTATAAAGCCATTTGTAAGTATTTGGGATTCCAGGGAGCAACAATGAGTCATTATCCACAAATGGAGAAAACATGCAACCCTACCAGGAGTGGCCAGCTCAGGCAAACATTACAATTGACGCAACATTACAATTACAATCCCAGTTTCAGAGTAAAATTGATTGTTTCTATATGTTTACATGTTGAGCAACACCATCAAATCTATTTCTAGCTGGATTTTATTCCATAGATGAAGTATGGAAATCTTTTTGCTTATTAGCTTCTGTAAGGAAAAAGAATATTTGCCTCGCTGTGATACCAGACTGCAGTTTCCCATAGCAGACTGATCCATTTATATGGTGCACTTTTATTTTGACTCAGTTTTTAATGTCTAAAGTTTGTGGCTAATTTGGTTATTTTTCTAAGTGTAGTCTAAACTTCTGAAAAGAAAAATTGAAACAAAATAAATCAAATTTAATTTGCAACCACATTTGTAGTGGACCAAACACTAACCAAACACTAACCAAATCCAGTTTATTTTTTATTATTCTGGTGATTTATGAATATTCATTGCACACTTTATGTTGTTCTCTCTAAGGACAGATCAAATTCATCCCACTTATGAGCTTCAGTTGGAATAGAAGCCGACTTTCAGAGCACAGAAGCTTTATGCAATGTTCTTGGAGAGAATCCTGTAAAAATTGTATGTTATATACATATAATTCGCAATTAATAATTGTTACCTAAGTTAAAAACATATGGAAATTTTAGAAATA